GGCCCATGGTGGCGAACCTATGGCCCCCGTCCTAGGCTTTCAGCTGGGTTTTATAAAACCTTTTCACTTTAGGCCTCCGCTGCAATGTGCAAAAAAAAAAAAAAAAGTTCAATCAGTCAATCAATTTCAACTCGCGGGGAAAAAAAGATCTCACAAAGTTGGAATTGATTGATTGAACTTTTTAATTCCCACCAGTCTGCTGTTATCACTGCAGCCACGCCCACCCAATAGGCCACGCCCACCCAATGGACCATACCCACCCAATGGGCCATGCCCATGCAATGGGCCACACCCACCCAATGGGCCACGGCCACCCAGCACCTGATGATACATAAGTGGGTTTGGGGTTGCAGTTTGGGCACTCGGTCCCTAAAAGGTTCACCATCACTGTTATAGGCCATGCCAACTAGGAGTTGGAGTTGGAGTTCAACAACCTCTGGAGGGCAACAGTTTAACATTGTGTAAAAATTGACATCAACCCCAACTCATTTTCCACATTAATTCATTACATCCAATAATGGGAGCATCTTGCCCCAAAATAATTCCAGTTTCAGTATTTGTTTTGTAAACAAATTGAAGGTACTCAAAATATTGTAGTGTGTAGTGATCCTGTTCAAGATTGCAGCTAGATTGGAAAGATAAGTCTTTAATTAACTCTCTTCCCAAATACTCCTTCTAAGTGTTAGAATGCTTTTTAAGAAAAAAAATTAAAAGGTTTGGATGGCATTTGCAGAGGAGAATCATCTGAAATATGACTTTGGAAGCAACATTTCAGGGATACGGAGGTTGTTATCATATCCCCCCCCCCCAGCCAGTTCTCACGGCTGAACAATGTCAGCTCCTCAGGTCTCTCTTCATGGGACTAGTACATCGTTCCTAATTATCACTATTGCCCTTCTCCCAATCCTTTTCAGTTTGCCCTAATCTTTCTATCTCTTTTCAGGCAAACTCACCTATCAATCTTTCTCCTCCTGAACAAATTTACACAGCATACATAAAATAAAACTTTATTAAAAAGACAAAACTAGAAAGATTCCTTCTAGCTTTAAATATTAGAATGTAGGTAATCTCAATTAAAAAATCTCAATTATTATGCTGTTCTAATTTGAAGATCTAGCAACTGGAAATTACAGAAACAAGGAAAGGATCCAATGGACCATATAAAAAGTAAAAATCACAAATCACAAGATGATACTGATCTGCTAGCTATGAAGATAAAAGAACAAGTTGTTTGGACATATATTTACATTGACAGAAAAATACAGCATTTTTAAATTAGGCAGACATAAAAATAATTGCAGCATGAATAAAATAAAGATTAAATTTAGTGCAGTTGTATGTACTGTAGATGTTCTTTATTTTTTACTCAGACCTTTTGGATCAGAGTTCAATGCACTTTTCACATTTCAATTTATTTTTTGTTCTGGAAGTTCCAAACTTTAATCTGGGGCTGATTTAATCTTTGCTCTTTTCTATTACAAAATCCATTTCTTCCTTGACTCCCTTGTCCTGGAGATTTGCCTACATAAAGAAATAAAACTTCATCATCTCAGAAAGGGAGAAGCTGGGGGCAAATACCTTTTGCTTAAATTTGCCCATGTTTTGAGCAAAATGTTGGAGATATATCTTACATTTAGTTCCAGCATTAGATAGGGTTTGATTAGATATCCTAGAAAATCTTCAACTCTTATGATTCTATGGATCAGAGACAATATACAAGCAACTAAATCGCTAGACAATTATGATTTCTCCAAAATAGTTGAAAAGATAACTTTTTCTAAGTTACTAAAGGAATGAAAGGCCTTTTGTAGCAAAAGGCCTTTTTAAAGAAAATATTTTTTGTACTTTATTGGAATGTAGATTTCATATGAATTTAGGATGGCTCATATAGTTTATAGTAATAGATACATATGTTGGATGATATGAAAGTTAGTCCTTCTACAGTCAAAAATAAACAATCTGATACTAAATCAGGTTTTTGCCAAAATAAAGAACAGATGGAAATTGTATCTCTTGCCTAAAAGAGATTTGTTGATGGGCTTTTAAGCACAGGAGAAATAAGTGGAGCAAATTGGAACACCAAGTGTTATAAATACTTGCAGTAGCTGTAATTCTTTTGTAATGGCTTCATTGCTTTGCCACAATAAATCTACTTTTCTGAATGTTCATGACATACTGTAGGTAATATATTATTGCAATGCTTTGCCTTGTCAGCCAAGAGAAGCATGACAGCTGTGTCTTGACTGTAATGTTATTTTATATTACATTCTTTCTTGTCCTAATTTGGCTGAATAGCAGTTCCATGCAGTTTCTGTTAAGTGCATTAATCCCCCAACCAGTTGGAATTTTGTGATGGGGGTATTATTTTCCCTCTCTGTTCAGATCACAGCAATAATTTTAAGCATGTTATGTGTTCTTGTGAAAAAATGTATTTTATATTCTAGAATGCTAGAAATGCTAGAAATATATAGGGTTCTTTTCACCTTGCTGAGTTGTCTATTATAATACCAAAGTACCATTTTTTAAAATGAAAGTTGCTACTGTTCACAATGAAATTGGCAAGCATAGGATTTATGATGACAACTGTGGGGTATTAATGCACAAATAAATGTCAAGTTGCCGATTTGTAATGCTTTATAAATACGTAATGTTCATTTGCAGATCTGTATATACAGAGGAAATTCTTCCTGCACTATGATTTAAAAAGTAAGAAGTTGTAACGAAATACGTGAACTGGTTTCAAATGGAGTTTCTGTATATGGGAAATCTGAAATACAGACATTAATATTCTAAAAAATATTAACACAAATGGGTGTTCAGGAAGGATTGGTGAATGGACAGGAGTTTAAAAAAACATGAACTAAGTCAGCCTTCCCAAATGGTGGAAACAAAGTTCTGTGGATTCCTGAATCTTCAGAGATCTGCACTTCTGTTCCCAGTCCTCATGACTAAACATATCAATCTTCTAAAGAAAAAAAAAATGGTTGAAAAGATGATACAATGTGGCATGGTGACTGAAGGATGATGACAGTATCTGGTAATGATCCATTAACATTAAAAGGTCTGCCTGGAAGCAGCAATTGATTTTGCAGCACAAATATCCTGGTTGTTCCCTATGGAGTCTTCCTTTTTTCTCCTCTTATACTTCCAAGCTTCCACAGAAGATGCTGGATGTGGCTAACTGAGTGCTTCGCTTAGCTCACTTAATTATTCATATTGAAAACAAGTTTGGAGGTGGGCCTTGGAGGCTTAGCTCAGTTATTCGGATAATGCAGGGAAGGTAGGCTTTGATTTTATGCCAGCTTTTGTAAAAGGCATCAAAAAAATAAGGAGGAAGAAGACCTACTGTATGTTGAGCTCTTCCTTTTGAGCAGTCTTATATAATTCTGGAATGTTATGACATCTCCCTGGCCAACGTTAGGAAGAATTCAATTTTCCATTTTAAAAAACTAAGTAAGTATCAGAAGATGGGCAGAAAGAGAATACCCGCATAGCCACTGTTCCTCAAACTAAAAATACATGACAGAAACCACTTTCTGCCTTCTTGTGTGCACAGCTTCAGAGGCTGTAAAGCAAAGTCTGCTGTTTTCCAGTGACATCTTTGTCAATAACCTGTGTGCTTTGTTTAAGCAGCTGCCAAATCAACTTTTTGGGAGGCCCCTAAAGTTGTTCAACCTGTCATTTATTGTCTCCCACCCCTACCGTCTCTCCCGTTGCAGGTCCATGGCTAGTCAAAAAATAAAGAGGTTCTCTTTAGAAAACTGGGTCATGGGGCATCTGCAAAGTAACTAGTACCATAGAGACTCTTGTTAACTATTTCTTACTAAATTAACATGTTGGAATATGTTTCATCAGTTTTGTTATGGCCATTTTGCTTTTCAACTGCCAGAATATAATGTAATGTATCCCATACATTACAAAAGTGCATTAGTACCTTTGGGAGAAGATTTTATTAATTCTCATTCTTTAGGAAATTCTAATGTTCTCCACTTATATTGAGACTGCAACTCAGAATTCAAATCCATCATCAGAAAAGGGTTAGATTGGCTAACAATTCTAGCAACTGCACTCACAACGTATTTGGAGGGCACCAGGGAAGGTATAAATATATGAATCTCTCATATACTCAATATATGAAAACTTTTATACAAACAGGGGACCCTCCCACACATACAATTTTGCAGAGATTCTGGAAACATTTCAGGATAGGCAGATATTTGAAGACAATTTATTACTAATTGGCAGGCAAAATCATTAACTAATTGTTAATGATTTCGTTTTTAAATTTCAATGAGGGTATTGGCCATAGTTTATTGAGTAAACCACCATTGGCTATGTTCATGCAACACTGGGTATTTTTGGGCCAGTCACTCTCTCTCAGCCCAGGCTGTTGTTGTGGGGAAAATAGGAGGAGGAAGGTATGTTGGATATGTTCACCATCTTGGGTTGTTTGTAAAAATAATAAACTTGGGATACAAATAAATATGTAAAAATAAATAAATACACTTAACCAAAATTATACAAATCATGTTATGTTTTAATGCATTGTGCAAATCAGTCCTTTTTCTCCTGATTATGCAGCATTAATTTGAAATAGGGAATTAAAAAAATTAAAGTTAACTGGTGTTGTTTTTGAAAGTAGTAGAAATATAATCTTTATTTTGAGTAGGCAGCCCCTTATGCATACCTATCTGGGTAAAGTTTTCATATAATTATCTTTATTTCTGTAAGTACCAATGGCTTGTTGCAATCCTTTGGAATTTCTCATTGTTCAGAATTCTCTCCAATTGGCTTTATTGGGGTAAGTTTCCTACCACACTTAACAGGCTTGTGTTTTGCTTTAATCAAGAAGAACTTTGAATAGCTTACATACTAGTCTACAGTAAGAAAGATAGAACAATCATAAGAACAATTCGAACAATACAATAAATCATCATGCTTGAAGACAGGATGAGCTTCAAGAGATATACTTTATTAACATCTTTTTAATTCCTTCCTAGGACATTTTGAGGAGAAAAATCCTAGCAAGAGAATAAAAATCTGCAGCTCACCAGGATGGCAGGAGCCTCAGTAAAAGTGGCAGTGCGGGTGCGTCCCTTCAATTCCCGAGAAATGAGTAAGGATTCCAAATGCATCATACAAATGACAGGAAACACCACAAGTGAGTAACTTCTCCATCATTTTCCACTAGATACTTCAAATTGCATTTGAGCCTCTTCTGTGTGTGATTGATATTAATCAAAGAGGGGATGTGAAAGAGCTTAGTCAATGAGGTTTTGTAATTTACTATACAGATAGAATAATTTAATCTTTCATAAAATTGTACCAAGCATTGTCCTGTGGGAAAATATGTAACTATTTTGATCTGTTTGTTTCCATGATACCATTTCCTAATAATGGCAGGAAGTTGGATTAAAGTTTAATAAGAAGCTGAAGTCTTTTTTGCTTCACGTGGAGAAAGTTTTAACTGTAACATTATGCAATGGTAAGGCATAATTTTGAATAATTTTATTTTCTAAGTAGAACAGAATGATCAGGTCTGCAACACTTGAAGAGAGAGATGTGGTAGAAGCTCCTATCTCTTGGACAGTGATTGGGAGGTTGTTGAAGATGAACCCTTCTCCTTTGAGCTGGACATTTTCCATTTGGCTAGCATAATGTTGCAAGGTCATTTAGAGTTTTCCCCCAGCCTCTACATTAATCAGTTAATTAAACATCAACATTGGCATTAACATTGACACTGAATAATCAACTGCTATTAAGGTAAACCATAAAATCCATCTGAATTTGATATAATTGTGGTTCCTGCTTCTGAAGTCTTGGTACTTTAACTTTTTCTATGTTTTTTTCTAATATGACAATTAAAGAGGCCTTATTAATCCATAACTCAATTTTTACATTATGTAGTTTTCCAACGTTGCACAATTATTAATTTGACTACTGTAATTAAATAATCAATTCCTGATTGTAAAGCTCATTATCTGGTCCTCTAAATAAATGTAGCAAGCTTAACTCTGGAGAGCATTTAGTTCTTTGTTTGGTGATAATACTTGTTTCCCCAAAAATTCGTCCTCTCCCCACTAGACATAAAAGAGGTAGGACAGGGCAGAAGTGTTGTGGGATTCTTGATTTCTCAGTAAACCTCTTAAAATAATCCATTTTAAAGACAATCTAACAGCATTGTTCCTGGCATCTGCATGCTAACCCCATAGTCTGTAGACAGCAAAACCATTCCCCCCTGCAGGAGAAAGGCATCTAGAGCAGATGAAAATAGTCCTTAATCCCTCTAGCTGGGTATGAAAGCCCCTCCTTTTTGTACTTTATGGGCTTGCAGTTCTGTCTGCTTAAATCTTAGGCAGAGGAGAGGCAGCAAGGAAATATGAGCTGGCTCATCTGAGAACAGAGACTTTTTTTCAACCTCTTTTGGGGGTATTTACAGAAGGGATGAAGTATGTGTTCTGTAGGCAATCAAGCTATTGTGGTGGTATTCCAATTCTACTATTGAAAACAGAGGTGATTGGTCCTTGAGGATCTACATATTTAAATCTTATCTTGCATCCATCAATGAGGCATCTTAAAAAATGACTTTGCAGTGTTTCAATTTTGGCTTAATGAAGGCCCCCTTTCATTATATAAACTTATATATGGTAGTTTAGAACAGGCAGTTATTGAACAGGAATCGTCCACCATAGCTGCAAGCATAATTGGAAGAGAAGGATGGCTACAGGAAGATGTACATCCTTACAGTGGTAGAAGCAACACTAGGGAGTGTCAGCACTGCAAATGCAAAGCTGTGTATGATTAATCTGCCAGCAGCCTGCATCATAAACTGCTCCTAGTAACAACTCTACACGTACATAGTAAGTGACTAAGGTATTTGTCTTGGTAAAAAACAGATTTTCTCCTTGCCCAGCTGAATTTCAGCTGCTCAGTTATTTTACCGTATTTTACTAAATTGGGAGTAAAAGGTCATTAAGAGGCAGATTGCTCACATTTTTACCCTTACAGTGCCCAGACTTCATATAAGATAGACTAAGATTGCTATTTGGGAACCTACTGTAGCCCTATTTCCAGATAACTTTCAAAATTCTCTATTTTTTTTTTATTCTGGATCCCTGTTTCTTAGTAGGTAATTGTGGGCCATAGCACTTGCTGAGCTTTTGATTCTTCCACTACTCCTTTATTCAAATGTTAGGTAACTCTTAATGCTATTTTCCTTTCTGTCGTAATGTGCCAGCTGTTATAATGGTGTACTCCTAAATCCTATTTATGCCCATGATGGTTTCTTTTGACTGAATGTCTAGGTTTTATGATCAAGTTCCAATCATAAGATATACAAATAGCTATGGCTTCTTACCTCTTCTCCTTTCTCTCTCTCCCAGCTGCTGTAGGGACTGGACTTTTAGGTGTATTATATAACAGGTAGGAGTGGAGGCTGACAGAAAACAGGGAAATAAACAATTGAAGAAATTCTGGATTCATTTGTCTACTTATATGGCAGTTTTGAAGGGACAATAGAAATCTCTAGATCATTGCCTGACCACTCCATGCATAGATTTATAAAGAAATAGTGTTAGTCTGTATCTACCGTAATACTGACTAGAGAGGACTATTAAACATATTTATTCAGTAGTGTGCTTCTGCTATGGAAGTTGCCAGCGTTTTTGTTTATTATAAATTGTGTAGACATGGGTATCATTAGAATTCATGCAGATTTTATATTGTTAAAATAAATATATAAGCAATATTATGAACCTGGGAAATAACTCCTAACAGTGATAGAGGGAGAATGAAGAGTATATCTGTCTTGCAATAGGGATATGGAAGAAGAGAAAATACAAAAGCTGGTAGTATAATCAGAAAACAAACAAACAAACAAGTAAATATGATGTTCACCAAACACTGAGTCAAAAATTATCTATATTGTTAGAAATGATCAGCCTAGAAATGATCATTCCAGAGCTGAGACAAGATACAGTGTCAATACCAACTCTATTTGCTTTGGTCTATACCAGTGTTTCTCAACGTTGACAATTTTAAGGCATGTGGACTTCCACATGCCTTAAAATTGTCAAGGTTGAGAAACACTGGTCTATACAAACCTTGGTAGAACTTTAGCAGAGAATATAGGATTGGTATGGGATGGTATAGGCAGAGCCAAACTTTCCCATTTCCCTTACAGATGAATTGCTCTCTGCCCTTAGATATTTCCAAATGACTTCTGTAAGATTCTGTGTGTCCTACATAGAAAAATCTTCTCCCTAGCTTATATACTGCAGGTGTTCTTCTGCTAAAGTGACAGCTGGTCAATATGTCAAACTTCTATATGAAAGACAAGTATGTATTTGCTCAAACATAGAGGTTGAGCCTAGTTCGTAGATTCTTCTGAAGTGCCCACTATACTCTTTGGTGATCAGAGTTAATATATCCCCTTGGTTGGACAACAACTACAGAGAATCTTGGAATAAATGTATTATCTGGATCAGTTTCAGACTGGGTACATTATGGAAATAGTGCTGGTTCTGATTGTTGATGATCTCTCAGCAGCTTTTGATGTTGTTGATCGTAATATCCTTCTAAACTGGTTGTGGGGGGTGTAGGGGTTGTGGGGGTTAGGATGAAGAGGCACTTGCTCTAATGGTTCACATCCTTCCTCAGCAATTGGTTGCACTTGGTGTGGATTCAGAGGACAGAATGCCTCAATGACCCTTCACATGAGGAGTGTCCTAGGGCTCTATGTCCTATTCTGTTTAACATTTATATGAAATTTTGGGCATGGTCATCTGCTAGTTTGAGACCCAGCGTCATCAGTATATGATCATATCCAGCTCTATATCTCAATGTCGAGCTGCCCAGATGAAGCTGTTGACTCATTCAGAATGGGATGGAGGCTGTTTAGGATGGGGTGCAACAGACTTTGACTCGATCCTGACAAAACCGAATGGCTATATTTCACCCTCTGGAACAGGATCTCCTCCCCTGACATAAAGGTGCTCTGTTTTAGGGTTCTGGAAAGCTCTTAAAAGCTGGCTTTGATCCTAGGCCTGGGGTTGATGTATTATTGTTTTATTTGGTTTTATTGTCCAGTTTTGTATGCTGCCCAGAGTCCATTGGAATTATACAGCTAATAAATTTGAATGAATGAATAAATAAATAAAATGCATGCTGTTTATTTTTTCCCTGGAAAAAAATAATAAATACTGTTGGTTGTAGAAAAAAGAAAAAAAAAGAGAGTTAATATTTCTGCATCCCCATTTCTCAACCTCTTGCTTCTGCCACAAAAAGCTGGTTCCCACCACTACATTTTTTATTCATCTGAGTAGTCATTCTCTTTTGAGAAGTGTTTGGGATGACCAAGGTAATTCTGCCTTTCCTTTTAATAAGCCACCTTCAATTTTTTTTTAAATTTTATTTTCCATTTATCCAACATAATTATACAATAAAATTCACTTCGCAAAATAAAATAAATTCACAATCATAACCATAACCAAAACCATAGGTGCCGCTTGCTCCCTCCCCCCAAGCTGCATCCACCCTCTCTAATACCTTCCTTACTTCCCTCCTCTTTCTCTCCTCCCCTCACTACTCTCTTCCCCTTCCCTTCTCCTCTTACCATCCTACTTCCTCCCTTCACCTTCCTCCCCTCTCATCCCTCTCAAATATAGCGTAGAGGGAATGCCCAAGCAGCACCTCTCTCATAAGTTACCCTATCTATATTATCCTATTTATCTACCTATTTACCCACCCACTCACCCACCCACCCACCCTCAACCCCCCCTCACTTCCCAGAGCAGAGTACAGGGTTATTAATAACAAAATTAACAATATACAGTAAAAAAAAAAAAGAAAGAAAGAAAGAAAAAAAATCATACTTAGCCCTTAACTCCCCTTAAATTATATCATCATAAACAAATCTCTTATAAAACATTTACTATAAGATTTATTCATAAAATAAATGAAACTTTATAGTCCCATACTTCTTCTGAATATAATCTATCCATCTTCTCCATACAATAATATATCTTTCTTGTGTGTGATCCTTTAAATAAGCAGAAATTTTTGCCATTTCTGCTAAATTAGAAACTTTAAATATCTATCCTTCTAAAGTAGGCAACGAATCTTTCTTACAATATAAACCTACTATTAACCTTGCTGCAGTTA